ACCAATAAGTGAAATAGACAAATTTGATGAAATTGAGGATCAAGCATTTCAGGATGAAATGGAATTACAAGATTTAATTAACAAACTACCATTTGATGATCTTATGGATGCAGATAAGTTTCTTCATATTGATGATTGTTTAAAAAGTAATGAAAGGTTAACTGATGATAAAATTGTATCTATAGTAAAGTCAAATAATAATAATGAACCAGAAGTAAATCCAAATGAAGTGCCTCTAGTAGTAATTTTAGTAACAAAAGCTTTAGGTTATTTGGATGATCTTGTATTATTTTTTAAACATTTATCAGATGTTTGTATTAATTCAAATAAATCAAATGTATTGCAGAAGTTAAGACATCAAGTATTGAAATCACATATTAATAACTCAAAATAAACTACGTTAGATAGTTTTTTTTAAACTCTTTAGTATAATTTTTGAACACTATATATACTGATACTAATATACTAATATACTAATATACTAATACATTAATATACTGTAATAAATAAATAAAACAATTTTTCTAAAATATTTTCTAAAATATTTCATATGATAAATTAGGTATAAAATTTTTTATTAAAAGATATTGTGATTTTATACAAAAATTTTTATACCAATACTAATCTACGTACTATAATAAATATTATTATATAAAATTTTTATAATGTACTGATAATTTGATATACTGATATTTTTTCCAAAAACAGCTATATCGGTATATAGGGATTTGACTGTATATAGTATGTAAAAGTTATATCAATAAATACAAAACTAAATAGCAAAGAAAACAAATATAAATATCTTTAAACCTGTAAAGATTAGTTCAATAAGAACCCCACTTACTTATAAGATAGGTCACCTCTAGGTCTAAGGTAAAAATCATATATAAAATTCTTTGCAGATCCTACTATAAAAGGAAATTTTATGTTACATTGTTATGATTTTTTTCCTTTTTAGCTAATTAACCAATAGAATTTAAGAAAAAAGTAAGGTAAAAACTATTAGTAAAGGGCCAATTTTCTACAGTGACCTTTATTATAAGTAAGCAGGGTCCTGTTCAATAGCTATATAAATTAGAAGATAAAATTAATGCAGTTAATCAAAAAATAAATAATTTTATTTTAAAATTCATATTTAAAAATGAAAATTTAAAGAAAAATTAATTGTTCAAATAAATCTTAATTTACATAATAATTCAATATCTGATATATTAAACCAGATGTTAGATTCAAAATTTTACTTTATTCCAAATAATATGAAAATAATTATAATATAACTGGTTAATCTATTTAAATCAATTTAATATAACTGATTAATCAGTTTAAATTGGTTTAATATAACTAATTAATCAGTTTAAACTGGTTTAATATAATTAATTAATCAGTCTAAATTGATTTTAGTATAACCAATTAATTGAATTACAAACTAACTAAATTTTGAATTGATTAAACCCAGCTATAAAATAATATCTAATATTAGTTCTATACTCTATAAGTAGTTTTTTAATAATTGCTAATAAATAAAAATTTCAAGTAAAATATTAAAACTTTTAGATGTCTGGTTCTGCAATTTTAAAATAGAATTAAAGTTAAAATTAATAATCAAAATTTTTTATAAAATAGACTTTTGTTAGATAAAAAAAGTAGTAAAATTTGTAAAATTTGCAAAAAAAATATAAAGACAGTAGAATACCAAAATAGGAAATAAAATTAAATTAAAAAAAAGTTTAAAAAAGAGGTATAAGTAAAAGGAATATAATTTATATCTATATAATAAAAAAAACTGTTATATTTAAATTACTAATTTTGAATTATATAATATTGCTTCTATTAGGTACTTTATTACATAATATTATATAAACTTTCAAAAAAGAAAATTTTACTTTCTATATAAATGGAATATCATATGGGCTGATTTGTCTACCTTTAATTAAAATATTGATTTTGTTACATTTTTATTATACAAAATACTATATAATATACAGTAAATTGGGGGTGAGTATTAAAAAATTTTTATTTAATGTCATTATACTATAAGTTGGTAAATATTTCTTTTAAATTAATATAATTCTTAGCACTTACTATACAGTCAACTCCCTCTATAGTCACTCCCGTTATAGTCACATTCTACTATATAGTCACACCAGTTGAATGTTCAAAACACTTTATTATTAAAATCTATCCTATATAATCACAATCTATCTATAGTCACTATCACACCTATCCTCAAAAATCTTATATTAAAAAGAACCGTTTATAATCACAGTTATATAAAGAATATATTAAATAACTTGGCATCTACAAAGATGTATCATAGCTTGTTAGAATCGTCTCACTGAGACGAATCGAATGGTGGTAAGCTCATCTCTCTGTGATCAATATTGGCAGAGTTATTACACAAAAACTATTAATATTTTTTTAATTTCGGAAATTAATCTAGTGATTGGATTTTGACATATTTTATACCATTAGAACCGTCTTATCAAGACGAATCGAATGGTGGTAAGATCATCTCTCTACGATTAATATTGGCGAAGTTACGATACAATAAAGTTTTAAGTATAATTCTGGCTAAAATTATGTTAATTTTTGGCCAGAATTATGATATACAAATATCACATCTCTTTATAATCACCAAATATATGGGTTGGTCACCCTATCTCAGTGGTTAGTCACTGAGACCCTCATTAAGCCTGAGTATGGTGAGGTCGCAGGTTCGATTTCCATGACCACGGAAATAAAAAAAATTTTACTGCAGACGCTATAACTAATAGCGTGAAGGTACAGGGATTAGTGTAGTTGGACTGCATCATGGTGAATTAGTGTGTACGGTTAGGCCGCACATTTCAACTAAGGGTCATGGTATACTTGTGGCCGAAACCTTTTAGAGGTGTGGCTGAATCTGAAATTCCGAAACCCAAGTCCGAAACTGGTGCCGAAATCCGAAACTATAGCTGAAACTTTATATAGGCCGAAACTATAGGCCGAAAGTCCAAAACCATTTTTTATTATGTATTTACTTATTTTATTATAAAAAATTGGCATTTATTTATTTTTTATATTATATTATTTAAATTTTATTATCATTATTATAAATTTATAATCATTACTATACCGAATTATTATTATTATTACGCTAAAATGTTAAATTGCAAAAAAAAAAAATAAAATTTAAAAAAAATCAGTTTTCATTATCATCAATTTCTTTGGCTATTAATGCCTCAATATCAAAATCTTCACGTTCTGGAGTTAATACAACAGTTTGTCTATTTTGATCGACTGTTACCTCATTCTCAGGTTCTCTTCGTTCCATATTAAAAATCTGAGATTCAATATCTATATTTAAAGTAACATCTAAATCATATGATTGTGACATATCAATAACCATATCAATTATATTTTCATCATATAAAAAATCAAAATTATTGACTTCCAACTCATCGCTAATTTCAACAATAGTATTAATCATTTTTTCGCGCATAGAATTTTCTGAAGTATCAATAGCATAGTAAGGTAATTCACGTTTGGCATTTGTAATGTAATAAGTATGCAATTTGCACATGCCTTCTACCCGATCTGCAGCTAATTTTGTACGTCTTTGACTATAAAACCACTCTAAAACTGAAAATGAGCGCTCACAATAAGCACTATTTGTAGATACGGCAAACAGTCGAAGTGCCAAAGCTTGTAACTCCCATTCTTTTTTTGAATTTTGAGCTGTCTCCCACCAAATAGTAGGTGTATCTGATTTATAATTATAATTTTGGTTAAATGGCGTTTTCTTTTTCATATATTTTCGCAGTTGAGTAAGTAGCTTTGCACATGAGTTTTGATTATGGCCCATATCCTTTCAAATCTGAGCTGCTTTGAGAGTGATATTATGAAATTGGTTCGGATTTATACCATTTCCTAAAATAAAATGATAAATTATGTTAAAATATTAAATTAATTAATTTAAATACCAAATTTTGAATCTCAACTTACCATGATAATGAGGATGCAAAAAAAAAGCCAATAGAAAAAGATCATCAGAAAATTCATGAAATCTTTCGTTAAATTTAATTATACAATGATTTTTAAATTGAATGTTTTGGTTTGACATTCGATAAATAGCACTTGTTAATTACAATAAATGAACATAACAGTTTGCAAGCTTTGAAGTTCTTGACTCTAGGCATCCTACAGTCACCTTAAGTGGATGAAGAATTGATGCAATTATTCGACAATTTTCATAAAAATTTCTATCATGAAGAATATCTTTTACCTGATTTTTAATATCATTTTCATGTTCCGAAAGAACCTAAATAAATAATATAATATTATAATAATAAAATAAATATCTTAATAAATTATAAAACCATAATTCATAAATTACATTAATTAATCACTTACCCTTGCAAAAGCAAGTTCAAGTCTTACAATAGAGCTAACACAATCCCACATTGTAGACCACCGTGTCTTTGTATGACTTTTTAATCCTCCTCCTTTAATTTGTAAAATTTTGACAGAATCTTTAAGGAATTGGCATGGAGCATGAGACATTGTAAAATACTGGTGAACAATGCCAACTTTTCGAATTGTATCTACAACAAATGAATGTTTACACAAGTCCTTTGTAATCAAGTTAATGCAATGAGCCATACAACGGATATTTAAAATGTGGGGATATTTTGCACAAAGAATTATTTGTGCAACACGCGCATCTGGTGCATTATCTGAAACTACAGCTGCCAATCTTTCAGGTCCAATATTATCCACAATTTTAATAATTTCGTCTCCAAGAAATGCACCAGTGTGATGAGGAACATTAGAATAATCCTTTGAACACCATAAATATTCTTTACGATCTTCAGTAATCAAACAATAATCATATATTGATTGTCCAGTGGGTTGGTCCATCCATTAAAAGCAATGGTCATATTATTTTCTTCATTAATTATTCTGTTTACTTTGAGGTTAATTCTAGAAATTTCTTGAATAATAAGAGTTTCTGTTAGGACCTAACGGCTTGGAAGATTATAGGTAGCACATAAAGTTTTAACAAATTCGATAAAGAAAGGATGCTCAATAAGAGCAAACGGTAAGTTGCAACATACAAACATTTTAGCCAATGCTTTGTTAATTTGATCTTCTTTACCCAGTTGAGTAGGAAAATTTTCATAATGGTCATCAATATGAGTTTGTGATCTATCATTTGATTTTCGTTTCTTAGATTTAGTGGTTGACGTTGTAGAAGTATCATAACTATTATCTTCTGAATCATCACAGTTATTAGTTAGCATCATTAAAATGCTGATTTTGGTATCAGAATCAACTTTGGTACATTCATATGCGAGATGTTTCTTAAGTTTTGCCACCTTATCTGTTAACCAATGATATTCACAAAATGAGCACGTCGCTGAATAATATCCTTTAGAATTAGGCACTAGATCACCTTTTACAAACCACTCCCATATCTTACTAATAGGACGCCCGCCTACTTTCCTTAAAGAACTGGATGACATTTATTTAAAATTTTTAATAGGTTATATTGTTATACAGTTATAGTGTTTAACTGTTTATTATAAGAGAATAAGGTGGAAAAGATGAGTAAAGTAAAAAAAGACTGTAGAAAATAAAGAAAGTATGTGGGTTTATAGGTTATAGGACAAATTACAAACTACAAATAAAAATGTTTCGTGAGAAAATTTTTATGTAGATTTAGATTTTAGATCGATCAGTTGATCGATTTAATGATCAATCATCAATATTTCTATTTTTAGGTTTCGGACTTATAATAATAGGTTTCGGACATAGTTTCAGATTTTGGCCAGGGGTTTCAGTTTCGAAAAGCAGTTTTTGAATACCAATACTGTCCGAAACCTGAAACTGAAACTAGGCCAAAACTAGGGGGGTTTCGGCTACAAGTATAGGTCATGGTATCCTTCTAACGTTCCCTATGAGGCCATTGGCATGTGCGCAGTCCTGTTCTTGAGGTCACTACTATACCTTGGGGGGACTTCCTGTTCAGGTAGTCACTTTACGATACCACTTGGGGTCAGTAATGGCTAGATGGTCGTCCTAGATGGTAAAGCTGAGGGTGCAATGTCTTAATGGTAGTTTGACCTTCTGTTAGGTCTTAGACCAACCACGGTGTTCATGCACAGAACAGATAGCTTGGTGATTGGGTTCAATTTCCTTCTCTGATGGGCCCTGGTTGGTGATTCCTGGTGGTTGATACCCACCATAAGGGATGATCCTGGGTAACACCTACAAGCTTACTGTCCAGATGGTCACTACAAAAGTATACCACTTGGGGATTACAACTGTACTATCGGTGGTGGGAATCGCGGGCTGTAGTGGCCTTTGAGTGAGACCTGTTACCTAATATGGTGGTATGGAAGGGGTCTAGATGTTTGAAGGTTATCTGACGAAAGTCCTCCGTGACAGTAGTAGTGGTGAGGGGTTTATAATAGTAGCCATTATAGTATCATGCAACGGATTAAAGGACGAGTAGGGTGGTGTTCAGCAGATTCGAAGGCCTTTGGGTCTCTGGGATAAGTCCTTGCGTTTCAGTTGTGGTGTTGAATTGTCCCTGTTTAAGGTGGTGGAGATGGTTACATCATGGCTTAGTGAGGATGATGCTACGAACGACCTACCTCCATAACCTTCAATAGAGGGTGCGGAAAGTAGTGGCCACTAAACGTACAATACACTTGTAAAATAATCACCAAATATGGACTGTCCCAAATGTGTGACTATAAAGAGAGTTGACTGTATATATTAAAAATTTGTATCTCAACTTTAAACGTAAATATCTCCAGATCTAATGATCCAATCGGCAAGCTCTTTTTTCGATCATATAGACCAGATCAAGGGCTTTCCGAAGAGCCTAAATTTATAAAAAACGGATCAGTGGATCCCAAGATATTTGCATTTAAGCATGTTAAAAAGTTTGTACCTCAACTTTAAACGTAAATATCTCTGGATCTAATGATTCAATCGGCGAGCTCTTTTTTCGCCTATA